CTTGATATATTTGCAACCTGTGTATACAATTTAATCGAAATCGGTGGAGAAATGTGGACATGAATAAATAGCATACAGACACACACAGAGGCATCATGTGCCTTCTCTCTCTCTCTCTCTCTCTCTCTCTCTCTCTCTCTATATATATATATATATATATATATATATATATATATAACTCCACGCTCACTTTTGAGTTTGTGTTAGCCTCTTTTGTTGACAAAGCAGAATGTTTTGCTCGTAAATTCTCTTTCAGTTACTTTTTCAATAATCTCAAAAATACTCTTGACTCATCTGGAATACCTTTGCCTGATTTTATCCTTAGACCGGAGCCTCTACTTTGTGATATGAATATTACTCCGTTTATTATTATTCTGATATCTTTCATAAGTTGAAATTGGCAGCTCGCCTCAAAAATGAAACAGAGAGACACATGCAAATTCACACAAAGACATTGTGGTGGATAGAAACTCTGCCAAAATGTTACCCTTTCTTAGACTGTACCAATTTTGCTTGTCAAAAAATATTCTAATTTTTGTAGTGGCAAAAGGAGCATACCATATTTTATTTGCAGCATCTCTTATTTGCTCCCACTGCTGCCCCTAATATATATAATCAATGGTCGAGTTTGCTTTCTGACCACGAGACACTGGTTCGAATCTCACCATGGTCTTGAACGGCTACTCTTCTAGATTTTTTTGCATTAACTATCTTCCTAATAACCTTCTTATTATCTATACTAGTGACAAAACTATTACTCCTGATTGTAAGTATGACTGGTTCGATGAAGTTAAATTGAAAACTGATCTAAAAATAACCTGCAATCTGTTGTTAGCTGGGGCAAGAAATGGCTTGTTAATTTTAACGCCTCAAAAACGAAACTGCACTCTTTTTAATTGTCTTAAAGAACATTTTTTTTTTGCATTCCATCAGTATGTCTGATGCTAACCTCCAGGAGAGTGACTCATTGCGTTTCTCGTGATTTCCACTGGCATGAGGTGGAATTGAATCATTTTCTACACATTTTCTGCATAGAATATTGCTCTTACAACTTGTCTACTGCAAACATTCAAAGAATATGCAATGTTTATCTATATCTCTGATATCTCTATATTATGATTAGTTGCATTATTTACATTATTCGGACTGTTATCCTCATCTTCATTGCTATATTCACAACGTTTCTGCAGTTGTATGCTCCGGCCTTCTTCAGGTGATTGAAATTTCCAATGATCCCTTTATTTCGTCCACCAGGGTAGATTGTTCTAGTTCCATGTGCCATGCCATTTCCGGATGTCTCAGTTATTTTCCTTTAACTCAACTCTTCAAGTATTGGTTCACCACTGCTGTGGCCTGGTATTGAACTCACAACTCTATGGGTCTTGTTACTGGATCTAACCAACGTCTTTATCCACTAAGAACATATGTGTATGAATTTTTTGGAAGTTATAAACCTAATGTCTCAGCAACCATTTTTTTCTGTTATTATTATTACATTTTTTATCAGAGCTTGTATTTCAATTTTTTTTTGTTATTCATTGCTTTTCTTTAGCGCTCCTTATTACTTGTTCTCATATAGTAGAGACAGGGAGCTTCACTGGAAAATACGAAAACTTAAGGAATCAGCACGTATGGCCACAAAAATCTCCAGAACCGGCCAAGCATAGAAATGAATACAATATGGGATTCAGCAATAAGGAATGCTAGAGAAAAGCAATAATAGCAACAAAATTTGCAATATGAGCTCTGGTAAAAAAATTGAAAAACAGAAAAAAATTGCAATATCAGCACTGATAAATATGGTTATAGGGCATTAGGTTTATACGTCCCAAAAAATCATGCACATTGTCCTCAAGGCTCAGTGTATAAAGACGTTGGTAGATCGAAGTGACTAGACCCAAAGAATTGTGAGTTCAATACCAGGCCACAGCTGTGGGGAACCAAAAACCTGGGAAATAAAAAAGAGAAATAACTGAATAGGCATGGCACGTGGAGCTGAAACAATCTACCACGCGTTCAGTTCGAAATTTCATTCACCTGAAGAAGGCCGGAGTATAACGACAGAAATGTTGTAAATATGGCACTGAAGTTGAGGATGACAGCCCGAATAATGCAAACAATGCAAATGAGGAATGTTATTGGTCCATCTCGGCTTCAGCCACGCCCCCTCCTCTGAGACGTTGCTTCTCACTGCTTTTTCTATAAATATTTTCATTGTAACTGCTCTGATTATGTTTCCTCTTTGGTACCTCGACTTTAGGTATTTAAGCGCAATACTAGATTGTTAGTTCGTTTTCATCATTGTACAATTGAAATTGTCATGAATTTTATACTAACAATTTCTTCTCACGTATTCTTTGCTTGTAAAATCTCTTCGTGTTTCTTACTTTCCAGTTGAGTTTGATCTTCAAAATTTAAATGTTATTTCACCATTATCTTCTCTTCTTCTTTGCTGGTTTTTTTTTTTATTTTCCTCTATTCTTAGAATTCTTTCACTCTCAGTAACTCCTTGTGTTTTAGTGGCTTTATCGCCTTTCTTGGGGGTGAAACAAATGGATGTTTGTGCAATGTTTTAATGTTGAAACTAAAGCGAAGATACAACTTATCCATAATCATTTTGTAAGATACAGTCAATCGTCGATAATCTCAATTTGGAAGAATTTGAAATGACGATCAACATAAAAATGCCTGAGGTCTTTTGCTAGTTTTGCTAGACAATCCGTCCGCACAAACCATCAATTTTCATCGAAGGCAAAACCTTGAAAACAATTAATGTGCTCATTAATCTCTGAAGACACAAGAATGCACCGGCAAATTCAATCAAGTATTCGATGCATTTATGTCAGTCAGCTATGATTTGAGGATTATTAAAATCAAGCCAATTGTTGACTTTTCACTGAAAACACCAGAATGATTACATTGCATTCCTAAGGTCTGCCTATAAAGATTCAGTATCAAGTCCGATGTTAACAGAAGAAAATTTAGAATAATACATCTGGAATAAAACCTCTGATAATGTTAAAATGAAACTTAAAATTGCACTTACTATTAAGAGAGAAGTCCAATAGACCCGACAAAATAAAACTGGCAACTGCTCTAGAAAATCACCTACAGTCAGTTGTTAACTGATGCAAGGGATGGCTTGTCAATTTTAATGCCTCCAAAACGAAATTGCAATCATTAAAGAGAACATTTTTGCCATGGCTGATTCTAACCGTCACGTCTCTCAATTTCCACTAACACTCAGTGGACTGATTATATTGAATCAGAAGCTAGTTCTGATAGTTCACTGTGTTGTATCAGATAGTTTTTTTTTTTCATCAGTATCCATCTTACATATTTATTTATAACGACAGAGTGAACTCTTCCTAACACTAAGTATACTACGCCTATCAAGAGAGAGGCTCGAATCGAGTCGAGCCGATAGTAGTTCACTCCAAACCAGACTGACAGTCATACTAACACCTTCCACATCTTGTATTATTATTTCGTGTAATATACCTTCGTTATTTCTACTCTTGGGTTCGTGTTGTTCTTCCTTGGTCCTAACCTTGGACCATAACATTTATAAATCTAACATTAGTCCGTGCATTGAATATTACTTCCATATCTGGTCCAGTGCTTCTGCTCTATATCACGAGATTCTTGACAAAAATCCAAAATATTTGTAATGTTATTACTTTCCCATTGCCGTGATGTGACGTCCTTCTGACTTTCCTATAAATAGTTTCATGATAATTGTTTTAATTAATAATCGACCGCATAAACTTAAGCATTGCTACTACATTGGCAACTAGATCTCATCATAAAACATTGTAATTTATTGTATGAGGTTGATGCAACCATAAGTTCTATTCTAATAGTTTCTTTTCTCACACTTCTCACTTGTGGAACCCTCTTTAAATATTTAAAATAAATAAATTAACACATAAATAATTTAAAAAAGTAAAATAATAAATAATATTTACATTAAAAAGTAAATAATTAATTCAACAACAGCAACATTTACTCACTTTCGTTTATAAGGCAATAAAATCACATCACTTAGCATCCTCCATAGTTTACAGTCCCTACCGTAGTGAGCTTAAAGAATATTTTAGAACGCTCTCAAATTTAAAATTTGAAAACTTTGAAAACGATATTTTACTTCTGTGTATACATACAACGTACAAAATAATATCTGCTCATTCACCTTGTTAAAGTTCTTCAAGGAATGAAACGCCCTGGTTAAGAAATCTTTCTAATAGTTTTCCGTGGGGGGGGCATTTCTCGCCTTTGGAACTCTCTTCCGGTTTCTGGCCTCGCTGCCACCTAAAATATTCAAAAAGTAAATATAACGCCAGTCGCCATCTTTTGTCTTCCCGAATCATGTTCTCTTATTGCCCTTTCTCCTCACTAAATTCTTCTCATACTCTTTCACTCTCTGTAACCCCTTGCGTCATAGCACTTTACCACATCACAATTTTCATAAGGTAATATTCATATAAAATACAAATTTTATTGTAGCCTAATTATGTATAATTATGGATCCTATGAAATATAGGTGAACAATTCAAGTAGAAAAAATTGAAAATAAATCCAATGTCTCTAACGGTAATTTTTAACATAAGTTGAGATTGTTCTTGTTAAAAAGTTAAGTAGTTTAACACATTTTACATTATGGATAAAAATAGTGAATTTTACAGGTTTTTTTTTAGATTTAGGAAGTGCAAAACAAATTCACTGATTTTAGCAAAAAAAAAAAAAAAGAAAAAAAAAGCAAACCTCAGAACAACGTCAAAATTTTTAATTCATTAGTACTTGTGAGGTTGTGCTTAGTTTAATTTGTAAGCAAATGTTGATAACAAGAGTCCGAATGCATTCAATCAGGCTTGCTCCCACCCCGATCGGTGGTAAGGGGATAAGGGGTAGTACGCACCGGCCCCGCATTTTAATGTCATCATCGCCTTAAATGATTAGAAAAAAAAATCGTGACAATTTACTGATCTTCTGTATTAAGTTTACGGTCAAATCACGCAGAAAATGCCGGTTCTCGTTCGTTCATTGAAGTTAAGCAATGTCGAGTCTGGATAATACTGAGATGGGGACCCGCTTGGGAATACCGGATACTGCAAGCGATAGGAGAATAATCCCATCTTTGGAATGCAGCGAGATAGTAAAAGATGGCAATACATACGAAAACATACCGTTGTTTTGGATTACATATGCTTGCCAAAGGAACATCGCTTTCAACGGCTAGGAGATAGCGTCTCTAAAAATGATATCCTCTAACCTTTAGTCGGAGTTGCAACCGCTAATTGTTACAAGAATGCAAGTGGACACATTATGATTATTAAATGTAAGTTTCGTTCAAAGACAATAGGATGAAAAACACTCATGTTGTGTGTTTTCAGATTAACATCGAAAATCTGCAGTCACAATCTCAGCACGGCTGTATGAAGTTATTTAGCCATTATCGTCATCACATAAATCGACTGCATTCGTTTCATATTACTTGGCATTTTTTTATTTATGGTATTAAATTATTTAACAGAAGTACCCTAAAAATAATAATAATTATGTGTGTGCGACTTTTCTCGCCATTTTTTTAATCAAAGTCCCCGGATATCTATTGCTTTCAAAAGTACATCTGACAACTGAGGAAGACTGAATGTTAAAATAGAAAAACGTTGGGATAGAAAAAAAAAGAGAGGGGGTGGGATTATTTGAAATTAATCAAAACTCAAGAATTAAAACTATTTACCTTCGATAATACTGAAAAAAAGATTTTTTTACGTGTGCGAAATACAGTGACATTTGGCAGATGTGTTGCGAATATTGTCCTTTTCGAGGCTAATGCTTTTAAAGATAAATCCCGAAAGCATTGGTTCTGAAGTTAAACAACGTCGAAACTTGTCATTACCTAGATGGGTGACTCTTTGGGAATACCATGAGCTGTAAGATTGGATGTGCGGCTGGTGTAACGGATAATTGTTCGGAATTAGAAATTGAAAAGCAGAGTTCCAATTCCAGTCGGGTTCATTGTATTCACATATAATTGGGAAAGGTATGAATCCACCTCTTCTTACCCAGCTATTGGTTAATTAGTATGAGTTGTATCAGTAAATTATTATCTCATAAAAATCTTTACAGTCTAAAAAGTATTCTTTAAATAACCTGCAAAAGGTTTATAATTAAAAACCAAATTAATCAAACTAAACCTAAACAACATTCAAACAAAGACACATGTTCAGGTGGCATGAGAATAACAAATGATGTTATTGTCGTCTGTTCCCACTAACCCCAGTAGTCGTAAAAAGCAAATTTGGAGAGAAAATCTAAGAAAGACAAATTATATGGAATTGAATACAACGATTAAATAAAACTGAACCATTTAGTGTGGCATACATAGAAAACAATTTATAACAAACAAATAATAAGGAAAAATGCATGTGCTTGAAATGTACAACTGTGTGAATCTTTTTTAGCATGACGAAATGTGTGCTGGTTATGAGAGTTTCATTTTGCGAGATGTTAACGCATGTATATGTCTACGAACGATGAACTGACGAGAAAAGAGCTGTGCTTCATGACTAATGTCCGGAGAGAGATGAACAAAAACAAAACAGAATTGGCTTGCTGCTCTTTTTTATATACTACGGCGAGCAGTTCTGATTTGTTCCACGAGTTCCTAGTTAATGTCTCTGGCCATATTTCTCTCTGCTAATCTCCACAGACGTCATTTATGCATCTCAAATCTATGTTAGTGTATTTAAGTAAAGAGTAATTCGTTTGGTCAGTTAATTCAAAAGCTCAGACAAATAATCGAATTTCTAGCTCTCTTATATAATCACCGTCTCAAAAGCATCAAAAGACCGTGAATAATTGGCATGGCGGATTCTTCATTTCCCTAAAATTTAAAATTTTGTTTTGAATAGCTTTTTATTCATTTATTTTTCAGAATATTTCTATGTACCTATTGACCCACAAGAAATTTCCTTACGTGCCGTGTCCCTTCAGGGCGTAGGCGATTATGGCTCTTCACAACTTCCAGTCCCTTTTAGCCTTTAAGAAATTGTGTCTTTCTGTTATTTCTCCTAAGCCCTATTCCACCTTCCATTCACTCAAGCATGTTTCGCATTCTTTTTCCTCTGTCCCTCTTGCCCTCAAACTGTCCCGTGAGTGTCAGATTTTCCAAGCCCTCTTTCCTCATTATGTGCCCCTGAAACCTCAACTGTTTCTTCTTGATGTTAAATATTAGTTTCCTTTTTGTTTCCATTTTTTCTAAAACTTCCTCGTTACTCACATGTTCGGTCCGCGGTATCCTCATCATCCTTCTGCAGAACCACATTTCTGTTGCTTCAAGTCTCCTCCATCTTTGAGAAGATTGTCTAGCACTCACGGCAATACAAGGGGATATATATAACATAGTAATTTAGTACTTTTTTTCTTGGTTCTTGCGAAATTTTCCTATTTGTTAATACTTTGCTTAGCTTTTGGAATGCCTCCTTGGCTATTCCAATACACCTTACACAATGTTACTATTTTATCCATAACTAAAGTTCCTACATAGTTGCAAGAAAAGCAGTAATAATAACAACACGCAGAGTGTGTTGCAAAATAAAATTTGCGGGCGGAAATCTTATATTATATCTAATTCTAAATTTAAAAGACTTTTAATCCTATATTTTTACCTGATCATCTCATAATACCTCATAATTTTATTTAGATCTGTTATCTTATTCTCAACATTTTGCATTTGAATACAATTTTTGTCTTACTTTTCATTTGTAATTACTTTTGGCAATGAGAACTAGACATATATAGGACTTATTTTATTTAAATAATTTCATTCTAAGCAAGACAATAAATCCACTAAAACGCAAGGGGGTTACTGAGTGTTAGGAAATATGAAAAAAAAAACTATTAAGGAGAGAGATAAAAAAAAGCTAGGATTAAGAAGACAAGGTGACGAGTGATATTGGATTTAACTTTTTGAAGATCAAGATTGATTGCGAATCTGGAAGAGAGTTCCACAAACGTGAAGTACTGTTAGCATAGAACTTACGGTTACATCTAGTCATTTCATCAGTAAAATGATAAGACATTGCCGCTAATCTAGTACTTTGCTTAAATTCATAAAATATCGGGAGCATAGAGAAAAAAAATACCATGAAAGAATTTATCTAAAAGTTACGGGAAAACTTCGTTACGACAGTGGAAAAGTGACTGAAGCCAAGATGCTACGTCAGATCCAAGGACATTGCAGATTCTTCTTTGGATTTTATCAAGACAGATTTTGATGAGAAAAATCATCAAACACGACACAGTGAACCAACTTTCTAAGCAAAAAAACCTAGAAATTGATTCATTATATTCTTTCCATTTCATTAGGTTTATTTATTTAATCTTAGTTTGGTTTGGTTTATTTTATCTTAAGGCATATCAACACATCAATGGGTTATTTAATGCTGATAAGATTTGTAGGATAGGTTCGTATGAATAGAATATGCATTCTTTGTAAGAAATCAGTTTGTAGATCAAGGTTCATTGACGTATTTTTGTAAAGAGGGTTTATGTCGAGAGTCAAATGCATTACTAATAATATTTTTCCAAAAATGTATTGCTGGTATTTTTACTTTAAAAGTCTATTTTTATAATTTCTTTATGTTTTGGTCTCAGTTTGAGGGTTAACTATTTGCACATAGCTGGAACCCTAACTAATGATACCACCCCGGATCAGGTTCGATCTGGGAACAGCAGCAACAAAGAGGTGGTTTTCACGCTATTCAAAACCTCCCAATAAGATGCTTTGGTACCGGATGTAGTTTATCGTTATACTCAAGAATTATTTAATTTTAATTTCACTTACTTTATTTAAACAATCACCGAGCAGATCCTGAACTTTTCCCTATCATGATGAATGTGTTTTCTGTGAATGGAGGCTCTATGCCGTGAACATGTACGGGACTCAAGCTATCCTCCAGTCCTCAAGTGGGTCTCATATATCCGATCTATTTGCTAAAGATGCTGAAAAAAAATGGTCGGTTCATTGTACCGCTCTGACTCCTCCTATTATACTTTATCTTTACAAGAGTCCAGTTCAAACCCAGAATGTATTGCTGTCATCTCTAGACTGGAGTTGCCCAGTTCTCACTTGCCTGTCTTTATCAAGAACAGCAAGCGTCTACGCGGCCTTGTGGATGATTATTTTTTTCCAACCTTTATACCACAAATAAAACATTGCATGCATTTTGCTGCTCTATTGCAGTTTCCATGACATATGTTTCTTGGCTCCACCACCCTGACCATTACGCTTGTGACCGACCATGCCACGTCCACATGTGTGAATCATCCTCATTACCTTTGTATTCTATTAGTATGAAGTTAGTTAAATTCAAGGAGACACGAATTCCGCTCGAATCCATTACTTACGTGCTAATACACTTGGGAAAGGCACTGCTTCTCCCCCCTCTCCAGCTATGGGTAAATAGCAGGACAGACAGAGTTTCTATAGCTGAGGATGACAACTTACTGTCAGTCATGTATTGGAAGATACATAATCGCCTAAACGTGTTTGACGCAGTCAGAGTAGTGACTGAAGTTCAATTCGGACAGCAAAAAACTACTGCTTTGTGGAACAGACTCCCGAGAGGATGTTTTCCCAATCACTACAATCTTGACCTCTTTTAAGTCTTGGGTTAACAGTTTTCTTTCCTCGCAAACTTTACTTCACAAGGCATTCTTACGTTCATACAACACCAAACAATAACCCTCTACCTCGAGTGTCTCTTGGGCCTTGTACTGGGTGAACATTAGTACATATACGTAGTAGTAGTAATTAATATTATCTAGACTTTTTATTTTTATTTGAAGCCTTCCCAGACATTATTTATTTTTGACTAAATTTTATTTCATCTTCATTTCAACTGTTTTATTTACTAATGGTACTACTACTAGTAGCAGTAGTATTAGTAGTAATTAGTAGTAGTGGAGGTATTATATTATTTAGAAATTTTTTATTATTGTGAAGTAATATTTGACTTGGGTTTGTTCAATCACAATTATTAAGGGGATCACTTGTAGAAGATAGAAGTGAATAATTGCTCATTAAGAAGATACGGTCCGGCGTTGTT